ACCTAAAATAGAGAGTTTGTATGGATTGGGTAGACAGGCCAAAAAATTTTAAGGGTTTGTATGGAATTTTTGCAACTTTTGCAAGGCTCCGATTTGGACAATTTTCCGCTGAGAACTCTCAAACGTGACTGGGTAGCTTTTCATTCAGTAACATTTCAGTTGAAATGTTTAGATTTTCAATGTAATCAATATAAGAAACTCGTTCCAGTCCTCTCACGTTTCTGCAATGAGCTATGGGGTTGACTGTCATGTCAGCCGTTGGGCCTAACCACTAGTCGTAAAGAAAGGTAGCTGTAAAAATTTATTCTTTTGATCACAATGGAGGGAAATTAATCGATAGCCCGTAAAATGGCCGAAATTAGCCGCTAACCGTTGGGCGTGAAAGCGGTTGCCCGTCGTTTCGTACCCATAGTCGTTCCGTACCCACAGTCGTTTCGTAACCACAGTCGTTTCGTACGTGCTCGTCTCGAGCCTGGAGAAGATTTTCTAATTTTTTCCATGTTTAAGTATCGATCTTTATTGCTTCCTTTATTCAGTTTCTTTAATTAAATCAACAGAACAGTATTTAGCAAATTTTTCTTAAAGTAAAAAAGTTGGTCTTACTCGATGCAAAAAATTGGCAAATGTCCGTCGTTTTAATTTTATTTTTTTGCCAAGTAGAAACCACTAAAAAGGAGAGACTAAAACAAATTCGAAAGAGTGTGACTGAATGTCGAAGAAATACGCGTGGAGGACAAACCTCTTGAAAACATACTCTTGACTATGAAGGATGACGAGTAGAACTGAGGGGGACTGCGTCATTAATCTATATATTCTCGCAGATACATTTCATGAAAAATGTTTTTAACAAATTCATCTACGGCAAAAACCCACCTATGTCGTATAAATTCTTCTACAGCATTGTAAATCTGGTTATCATAATCATAGTTAATCGATTAACCATGTTATAACTGCCTTCTTCGAAAAAAAACATGCTGAAAATAGATTACCAAACGGATATTTTCTCTTTGCGAATTTCTAAGAAAAATCCAGTTGCAAAGATTTTATGTTGGCTTTGAAGTTAAAATTGTCGTTGTTTTTTTCGTTATGTTTTTTCTTGGACTAATCAGTCTACAGCAAGAAATTATCAGTTAATGATATCTTGTCAACACTTTTCGTTTTCATCCATGATGCACCGTCAATATAACGATGGACGGATTCTAAGCCGTTGAGGAACAAATTAA